AGAAATTCCAGCAGGGATTTCTGGGACAGGGAGGGAGAAATTCCAGCCGGGATGTTTGGGACAGGGGGAAATTCCAGGAGGGATTTCTGGGACAGGGAGAAATTCCAGCAGGGAATTCTGGGACAGGGAGAAATTCCAGCGGGGATGTTTGGGAGAGGGGAAAATTCCAGCAGGGATGTTTGGGACAGGGAAGGAGAAATTCCAGCAGGGATTTCTGGGACAGGGGGAAATTCCAGCAGGGAATTCTGGGACAGGGGGAAATTCCATCAGGGATTTCTGGGACAGGGAGGGAGAAATTCCAGCAGGGATTTCTGGGATGGAGAGAAATTCCACCAGGGATTTCTGGGACAGGGATGGAGAAATTCCAGCAGGGATGTTTGGGATGGGGAGAAATTCCAGCAGGGATTTCTGGGATAGAGAGAAATTCCATCAGGGATGTTTGGGACAGGGATGGAGAAATTCCATCAGGGATTTCTGGGACAGGGATGGAGAAATTCCATCAGGGATGTTTGGGACAGGGATGGATAAATTCCAGCCGGGATGTTTGGGACAGGCAGAAATTCCAGCAGGGATTTCTGGGACAGGGAGGGAGAAATTCCAGCCGGGATTTCTGGGATAGGGGGTAATTCCAGGGATGTTTTCCTGCTTCCCAGGGTGCAAGATGAACAACGTGAGCGTGGTTTACACCCCCTGGACAAACCTGAAGAAGACGTCGGACATGGACGTGGGACAGATCGGATTCCACAGGCAGAAGGATGTGAGTGTGGGATCATTCCCGGATCATTCCTGGATAACAGGTCGTTATCCAGCCCTGGGAGTGTCCAAGGAAAGGTTGGAGCCACCTGGGATAGCGGGAGGGGTCCCTGATCCAGGGGGAATTAAAGGAGCTTTAAAGTCCCTTCCCACCCAAACCATTCCAGGATTCCGGGATAAAGGACACTCAGAATCCAGTCAGAGGGGTTTTTCTGGAATGTGGGGATGGAAAAGGCAGGAAAGGGGAAGGGAGGCCCTGCCCTGAGTGCCGAGATTCCCAGGGGATCCAGTCCCATGACTGGGATTTTCCTCAGGTTTTGGGTTTGTGGGGATTTTCCTCAGGCTCTGTTTTTTTGGGATCCTGTCCTGTGGCAGGGATTTTCCTCAGGTTCTGGTTTTGTGGGATCTAGCCCTTTGGCAGGGATTTTCCTCGGGTTCTGGTTTTGTGGGGATTTTCCTCAGGATCTGATTTTGTGGGGCTTTTCCTCAGGATCTGG